AATTTTTGTGAGGTAGGGTTGATATACATATTGAGGTGGTTTTTGAAAAACATACCAAAAATTTGGTATTTGGGAAGAGAAAGAGCTGGAAATTAATGAACCAAAGGTTTTATGGGAATTCGAACAATAAGTGGAGCTAAAGTACTAAATTGCGCTAAAATTTACATTTGATGTATGGAGGTGGTTTTGGAAATATGTATTAAGAGTAGGATCAAATATTGATGCATTTTGGTTTTGTGTAAATGAAAAAAAAATGGAAATTTAGTACAGAAAGAGGTCTTTCTGTAAATGTATGCAACAAGTGTACGAAAAGTACTAAATGGTACTAATATTAGCATAAAGCATGGGAATGGAAGTGGCATTATGAATTTTGTTATTACGATACCTGTGAATACAATGCGTTTAGATATAGAGTCGGATTCGAAATTTTTACTGCAACGTGTACGAAAATTTTTAATTTTCTAACTGAAAACGAAATATTTTTCTCTGTGTAGTTTTAATATATTCATTTTATTTTTCCAACCACCATGGCGAGTCTACATGTGAGTATATGGAATATTAGTATCTATATATGCGGTATATAGGTATCACATATGTTCGTATGTATATATATTTTCACAAATACATTAAGACCATCACTTCATCATTCATATGTTTTTTTTTAGATAAATGCAGTTTTACAATTGCATACGTATACTATACATACATAGGCATACATGTATGTGTAGCATCGTAATTGTATGTTCTGAATATACACTTCCTTAATTGCATGAATATTTTTTTCAGATTTTTAATAATTATCCACCGAACAAAGTGAAATAGAAAAAGTAAAATTGTGAGGCAGAAATCCCAAAAAAAAATTTTAACAAAGAAAATAAAACAAGTTAGAAGGAATCTGTCGCTTTATCGATAGGAATATACCTTCAGTTCACCGAAGTAGAAATAATTTTCAGGAAAATCCATAATTTTGACTAGCAAGATTTTGCGAATGAAAAAGTATTCAGTAAATCCAATATTTTAATGTTTTGTTAACAATAAGACCTTGTAAAAATATTCTTTAGAATTGACGATCTTTCGCCAGGTGGACATTTTACAATTTTTGACTACGATTGCCTAATAAAAAATATTCTGCAAATCTTTGAATTGTAAAAACAAATAAAAAATTGTTATACCCAATATTTTTTGGCAAGGAAGGAAGGAAAGCCCTGTGGAAATATTACTGATATCTTTGGTTTCTGACCAAGAATACCTTATTAAAAAAATTCGAAAATAAATAGTTTTTGACCAGAAAATTATTTAAGAAATCCATTATTTTTAAACAAGTAGTCCTCTTTTTACAAAATGCCTACCAATTCTACGAAAATATCCTTTTATGTTTCTTGAAAATATGTTTTTTTTTTCTAAATATTCTTTGATTAACAGGAAGTCCTTGCAAACAAATATTTTAAAATGTCAATAATTTTGGATTTAAAAAATCCAAAAAAAAAAAATTAAAAAGTAGACTAATTATCTTTGATATTTGACCTTGTCAAAATATTTTTTTTAAAAAATTTATGACATTTCGACTAGGAATTCTTTGTATAAGATAATATGAAAAATGCATTGAAAAATTCTTAAAAAACAAGATTTGGGTCATGATGACCTTTAAAAAATATTCTAAGAAATTAACCAAGAAAAAATCCAAAATTCCATGATTTTAGATTTGGAAGACCTTGTGAAAAAATATTTCAAAAAGCCAAAAAAGCCAAAATCTTCAAAATACCGAAAGTCGGAAGGTACTGTTATACGGTAGCATTACTAATTAATGGAACTGAATCGAACATTTTTCGCAAGGAGAGAGCCGATTCATCATAGACCCCAAAAAGTGTATATATTCATCATCAGCGTAAAATTCCATATCGATTTAACGATGTCCGTCAGTGTGTTTAAATCAAAATACAGCTCACATTATTTGACGTACAGCTTTAAAATTCGGCACCGTTGTTTGTTCTGTATCTAGGATGGTTGGTATTAAAAATGAGATATATCAGTCCACTTTTGGGTTATACCCCATGTAACTGTACCTCCCAACATTCGGTTATTTTGATGGTTTTTGCCATATTTTTCCACGGATTTGTTTAAAATTGGTACTTGTAGTTCGTTATGGGTTTCAATTTCCGGTGGCGGAACATTATATACACAGGTACACTTTTCGTATAACCCCCATATAAAGGTACTTCCCGATATTCGGATTTTTCTAAAAATGGTATTTATAGTTCGTAATGGGTTCTAGCTTCGATAGAGGAACATTGTATGTATAGGTCCAGGTTTTTGTATAGCCACCATACAACGGTAACTCCCTATAGTCGGTGTTTTGTTGGTTTTACCCACATTTTTTTTTTACGAATTTGTCTACAAATTGGTATTTGCAGCTCGAAATAGGTTCTAGTTTTTGTGGCAGAATATTGAATATCTAGGTCCACGTTTTCCTACAGCTCACATATAACGTTACAATTGAATATTCGGCATTTTGACTATTTATGCCACATTTTCTTATAAATTTGTTTGAAATTTGGTATTTGTACTTCATAATGGGTTCTACAACCGGCGTCAAAACATTGCCCACATTGGCCCTAGTCATCCTAGTCAAATTTACACACGAAAACAATTTGTATTTAAGACTCGCAATATATTATAATCGTTGTAGTATAAAAGTTTCTATGTAGGTTCCCGTTTTAGTATGGCCCCATATAACCGCTCCAACCGTTCTCCTACCGATCTTACTGGAGTTTTTAGTTTAAAGTGGAATACGCTTGAATCCAGATACTTTGCATAAAATTGTTTCCTTTACCCAATGGTGGAGGGTATTAGGAGTTCGGCCCGGATGACTTACGACATGATTAATGTAACCTCCATTTTATGGTGGAAAGCATAAAGGTCCATTATTTATAAATATCAGGGATGTCCCTCTTCGTGAGGGATTTGAACATATTCTCATCTGACAAGAGTCTTATCTAATGAGCTAAATTTGATATGCATAGGACACTTTCATTGCACAACTTTAAATGCTTATCTTTTTGCAAAATTTTGTACTTTTGTGGGATAAGTAAGTGGACCAATGTGGCACATCTCCGAACTCGATTTAAATTTTGTGAAAATTAACAATATACCAAGTTTGAATCAAATCGACACACATACAACATAGCTAGGTCGACTCTAAATGCCCCAGATCTAAGGAGATCTTGTCTCTTAAAACCATATTTCGATGAGATCAAGTTTGGGCGTATCCTATTGTAGAAATAGGGCTGAGGGTATAAAATAGAAAAGTTTACTTGCAAGATACCCAATTCCCCTCAGGGACGCTACCTACATTTTTCCCCAAAAAGTTTTCGAAATGCTTTTTTGATGTCTCTAACCAATATCGACATTTGGTTTGTAGCAGAAACAAGTAAAAACAAGTAAGCAAAAGCTATAGTCGTGCGGGGCCGACTATGTGATACCCTACAACACTACAATATGTTAAAAGCCCCCTTACGTCTAAATAAATTTTGGAAGATTTTGCCTTTGAAATTATGTCACGGTTAAATTTAATCTAATGGTCAACCAAAATACTAGACTTCTTCGATATCCTTAACATTCTTCTCAGGCATGTCGATTGGCTTCAATTATATAATCAGGAATTTTTTCTGTTTTTGGTTCATTTGAACCCCTAACTATTTTGCGATCATCTCCAAAAGCAAGAGACCCCTCTGTATCTCCAAATTTAGACTCATCTACATGATTTGCTTGTCTACGATATTTGTATGGTATTTTTTCACAAAAAAGTAGTGATCCATTCAACCCGCTGTTCTAAACTCTAACTTCATCCGAGATTTCGTGTCCTTTGGATTCTATTTGTGACCTTTATAACGGCAACAAAATCAGGAACATTTTTAGTTGTTGGTCCATTTCAACCCCTAAATACATTGCGAACATCTTTGAAAACAATAGGCCTAACCCTTCTGAGCCTAACCCTACCTTTTTTCGTGAGGATAATTGAAATCTATATATAATAACCCCAACTTGTGTTGTAAAATGAAAAAATATTATAAAATGTATTCTTCAATATTATAAGTCAAAATGAAAAAATCGCATGCGATAAAAAATATGAAAAAAAAAAAAATGTCACAAAATACTACAAAATCCATATTAACATCATTATTGACATCTTTTTATGCGATTTTTTTAGATTTTATTCTTTTACACCAAGAGGGCATTCTGAATTGACTAAATTTGTCAAAATCGGTCCAGCCATTCCAGAGGTATAAGCATTTTAGCTATCATCCCCTTCCTTTGTATATATGTATTGTATATATTCCGCTATATATATCCGATATATTTGCTATCGGTATCTACGTAACGGTCAGAATTGACCTGTTCATCTTTTTATGATTTTGCCGGGATTAGAAATTTTTCAGTTTTTGGTCCATTTCAACCCCTAGATATTATGCGATTATCTCCAAAAGAAATAGGGTTCTATTCTGTCACTATCCCCACCTCCATTCTTAATTTCGTGAAGATCGGACCATAATTGCGACCTGTTGAGTGATTACAAATTAACATGGACAGACGGACAGACGGACGGACGGACATACATAGCTAGATCGACTCAGCTCGGCGAGCTAGAAAGATCCATATATACTTTCCTATGTGAGAAACCAATATTTCGAGGTGTTACATAATTTTTGGACCAATCAAACTTATAATACCCCCAACACATAGTGTTGTAGGGTATAAAAATGTTAATGTTATAAAAACACGAAACTATTCTTGCCTTTCAATGAATATCTTTTTTAATTACCTCACAGAATCAAACTTCCTAACTTCTCTCTTTTGATACAGCTCATCGAAGTTCACATCTACATTCACGCATACATACATAAATACATACACTTTAGTCCATTCGAAGCCATAAGTATGTTTCATTTGGGTACTTAACTAATATCATAAAATAGACACTCATATTCACTATTTCGCTTCAGCTCTATTAATGAAATCCTATTATGAGATTTATTGACCGGTTCAACACCATCCATGCTCTTGTACCACCAAAGCAACAAACTCAAACACAAATACCAAAATCTCAAACTGGATATTGTGCCGCCCTGCTACAAATTTTCTGCAACAATGTTTTCCCATTCGAATGGTGGATATCCATCAATTCAACAACGAATAATGTAAAACCACTAAATGGACTTATTAGCAGGTGAGTGAAGAATGTTATTCTGTTTTTTTTTTTTTTTTTTTTGTGTTAATCCTGACATTGTTGTGAAAACCTCTCCCTCAACCATTGAAAGCCACTTAAATATTGAATTACTTAGACAGTTTTTCCAAAGCACACTCTGTGGATATCCAAATTAAAGAGAAATTATACGATTTTGTCACGTGACATACGGACGACTGGATGGATGGATATCTAACGAAATGCTTACTGCAGATGTCTGTCAACGATGGTCAACAAATAAAAAAAGCCGAACGACATGAAAAGCCACTCATTGCATTCAAGTTGTGGAATAGCAACGAACAAAAAAATAAAAGAATCGGCTATGACACAACTAAGAATAACAACAGACTACAATTTGATATGTTGGGAAAGGGAGTTGAGAAAATCTTGGACGGCTATGCTGCACCGAATATGGATTGCCTTTTATTCAAATGAATTTGTGAAATGAAAACCAGTGGGGAAAAGATCAAATTCAGGTGGGCTCCATAATTTGATACCACTCTGGTAAAATGGTACATGAATGGAATAATAAACTTTGCAGAGACATTTCTTGGGTATATGGGAATTCGTGTCATACCATCGACATCGGAAGCATTTTACGGCTTGCATATAGCTAAAAACTTTAATTGACACCAACACATTTATGAGTTACTGGCAAGTGCCCTCTACTTCGTTAGCGAAAAGTCCACCTCAAACTATTAGATTCGTTCCAACAGTTGGTGTAAGGCCTTGGCCTCTAGTTGTACTAAATTTTTAGACTTTCTAAATTTGATATATTATTAAAGACTTTTCCTTTTTCGGAAAGAATAATAATAAAATGTTTGCATTCTACACCAAAATGTCTTCAAAATTTTTAATTGTGAAGTTTACCGAGGAGGGTATTAGTGTAACAATTGCATAATGGAACCACATCCAATTTTTCGATCCAAAACTATTTCATCTTCTTCATATGTAAATCCAAGAACCCAATGGTAACCCGAATAACAAATTTTAGAATTTCAACTCTATCCCTTCATCCAATACCAAACAATATACATTTCTCCATTCAAGGCACCAACCGTGATCCAAAATTAGTACTTTTCGTACAATTAGAGTACACTTTTCCAATACCACTTCCATATTTCAATCCCAGATACCAACAGAGACCTCAATATCAATTTTGAGGATTCCGGTCCTATCCCGTCAACCAATACTAATTTGATATCATATCTCAACCTCAAAAAGAAACAGTGACCTTAATATCAAAATTAAGGATTTAAGATCTATAATTTTCTCTCAGAAACACTAAAATTATCTTATCCCACATACCAACAGCGACCTTAATAGACCTATCCCTTCACCTAATACCAATCTAGTAACATTTAGTACAACTAAAGTGCGCATTTTCAAAACAATTTCCATATCTCAACTTCAGATACAAACAGTGACCTCAATATCAAATTTCAGGATTTCATCCCTTCAATTTTTTTATTATCAAATGTAGTTCCATTTAGTAAAATTGTAGTACGCACATCCAAAACTAGCTCCTTCTCACAACCACAGACACCAACATATCAAATTTCCATATACAAATTTTGGATTTCAGCCAGCTCCAAATTTAGTACTTCCCGTACAATTATATTACACGTTTCCAAAAATCACCTCCATACCAACAGAGACCTCAATATCAATTTTGAGGATTCCAGGCCTATCCCTTCAATCAATATCAAATGTAGTACTTTTCGTACAAATTTAGGACGCCTTTCTAAACCATTGCCATATTTCAAACGCCGATATCATCAGTATTCTAAATATCATCTTTTATCCTTTCAGCCAATACCAAATATATTCAGTGCATTTCGTACAATTATAGTACACATTTCAGAAACCACCTCCATATGTCCAGACTACAAGGAACAACGACTCTAATACCAGGCTACACATTAACAGCGACCCTAATAACAAATTTTAGATTTGAAGCACTATCTGTTCACCAAATACCAAATATAGTACTATTTTGTACTTTCCGTGCACTTGTAGTACACATTTCCCAAACCACCTCTTTATCCCGAACCAGGGACCAAAATACAAATCTTCAAGATTCCAACTTGATCCGTTCATCCTAAACTAAACTATTCCAAATTTATGACTATGGCACCATTTCGTAATTTTCGTACAAATATGGGATGCATTTCTAAATCATCACTTTTCGTGCACTTTTAATACATATTTCCAAAATCGCCACTTTATCACAAACTTAAAACCAAATCGCCTCTTTATCACAAACAAACAAATTTTCAAAAATTCCAGGTCAATTCTTTCACCCTAAACCAAACTGTTCTAACTTTAGTGTACTAGAACCATTTAGTACTTTTCGTACAAATATAGAACGCATTTCCAAATCATCGCCTTAGTTCAAATTTGAGAATTTTATCTTTATCCCTTCACCCAATACCAAATATAGTGCCGTTCAGTACTTTTCGCACAATTTCCGAAACCACTTTTATATGCCTAGCCTACGCATGAACAGCAACCCTTATACAATATTTCACATTTCCAGCACTAACTGTTCTCCCAATACCAAATTGTACCATATATAGTAGTATTTAGTTCTTTTCGTGCACTTGTTGTACACATTACTAAAACCACATCTTTATCCCAAAACTACCACCAACAGGGACCCCAAACAGCATCTGGAAATTTCAGCTTCATCCGTTCAACTTAAACAAAACTGGTCCAAATTTATTACCATTTAGTACAGTTAGCACAATTAGTATCCAATTCCAAAACTACATATCAAACTTACTCTCCAGTCTTAATGTTCATACAAAATATCAGGTTTCTAGCTTTATCCGTTCACATAATACCAAATTGTACCATTTTAGATGTTTAGTACCTTTTTAGAACTTTTCTTAGCTTTAAGGTTCGAATTTCCTAAAACTCTTTGGTAGATCTACCCTGCACTCCATCAGTGAATCTCATTCTAAATTTAGGAAGCTCATTTCGTTTGTCCCATACCAAGTATTTAATTTGTTAGTACTTTTAGTCCGAATTTCACCAATTTCGATTTCAATCCTCACCAAATTCGATAGTACTACCTTTATGCTGAATTTGACTTTATGTGTAAGAATTCATCATATTTGATAAAATTTTACTCAAATCTGTATTATGTCGGCAGAACTTTTGGTATTGAAAATGGGTGATGTAAGTCCACATTTTGGTATAGCCCCAATATAATGGTATCTCCCTTTTTTCGGTATTTTTATGATTTCAGCGACATTATTCACCGGAAATGTTTCAATTCTGGTATTTGAAGTTCGAAACGGATGATACAGCCTATAACAGAAAATTGCCTGTGCAAGTCCACGTCTTCATATAGCACCCATATAACGGTTCCTACCTACATTCGGAATTTTAATGATTTTAGCTACATTATTCACCGAATTTTGTATTCAAGTTTTGCATTTGAATATTGTAATGGTTTATTACGGAAGTTGCCTATGGAGGTACATGTCGTCGTATTCGGCATTTTTAAGATTTTAATAGAATTTTTAACGGATTTTATTTTTTTGAAAATTACCAAAATCGTTCCAAATGGTGGAGGGTATTCAAAGATCGGCCCGGTCGAACTTTTAGCTTTTTTTCTTGTTTTAAGTATTTTCTTTAGCTCTTAAAAATCACCCTTTATAAGAGAAATATAGTTATTTCTGAGCCAATTCTACTAAATTTTGTAGGCTTACTTGTTTTTTAGCTTCTCCAATCCATTTTGATCGACAAAAACTTTTGGGAGCGCAAGCAGACTGAAGCCTGAATTCGCCTCCCGTATATATGAAATTGCCCATGAGCTGGACTTTTCCTTTATGAGTATAAAAAAGTCCTTTGAACTGTAACTCGACGACAAACGTTACGACATAACGAAACTACACACCGCATTGCTTTGGTCAATGTCAGAACACCAACGGCAATGAAAATCCAGGCTAAATAAAACATAATACAGAGAGAAGAAAAAAACATTCCCAAAAAAAAAGAATCTAAATAAACGACAAAAATGTTAATGACAAAGTAATCCAACAACAGTACCAAAAACAACAACAGCTCTCCCGATAACAGCAACAAAGCACTACAAAAAAAAAACGTCTGAAATGGCAAAAGGAAGACTTATGACTGCTGGTCAGATATGTCAACATGGCTAAATGTCAAATGGACACGCGAGAAAAATAACTTTCACTCGAATGAGAGCTCTTTCAAATGCAATACCGCCACCACCACCGCTGCCACAGTCGAAAAGAAATGAGTCATGAATGGACTTTACATTTGGAAATTGTTATGCGAGAATGCCCGTTCTGTATTAATTCGGAGTACAAGGCTCAATAATTATTATAACTAAATATTATGAACATTATTGGAAATTTAAAGCAAAATATTACATGATGAAAATTGGATGTTTATCAGTACCTGAGGGAAATTTCAGAAAAAAAATATGTGGCTGCTATTTTAGAAACTCTGAATCCAGCAACATCACAAAACTGTCCTCTCATTTGGGAGGATGGCATACTATAAAAAGAGGACCCATCTATCCCAACTTAGGTCTATATTTAATGCTTGAAGAATTGTAATAGTGTGCGAAATTTGAAGAAAACTTGGCAATAATCTCGTATTTTGTGATATTTTATATACCACACCAAACAGTGGAAAGGGTATTATGTATTTGTGCATTTGTTTGTTACATGGAGAACGAAACGAGATAAGACCATATTTACTTTTGAAGATCTACATAGTGGCACTTTCTGAGTCGATTTATGAATATCAGTCCCTCTGTCTGTCCATATATTTTTGTGAAGAAAATGCAGTTCGCATTTATTATGAAATTTTCCAAACAATATTTGTTTGTGCCAAGGACGAACATTATTGAAATTGGCGAAAATCGGTGCTAATTTAGATATAGGTCCCATATGTATGTTACATTCGATTTGGTGTTTAAGTTCCTCACATCCGTAATATGCACCCCTCAATAATGATATTTGGTACCAGATATCTTATAGAGCTAGGAAATACCTTTGCCTAATTTTATCGAGATAGACTAAGATTTGGATATAGCTCCCATATATATCTTCGACCTATGTCCGGTTTATTGTGCACCAGATGGTTAATATCAGTCCAAATGGAGTGAATTTAGGCATATCCGACCGAATTCAGTCTAGAGCCAAGTACATCAAATTTGGTGAAAATCGGTTCAGATATAGCCATGGCTCCCATATACATGTATATTTCATCCAATTTGGTATTTAGGTCCCTCGTATTCGTAATATGCACCCCACGAGAATGATCTTTGTTATATATAGCCCAGAAGAACCTCAGGCAAATTGTATCAAGATCGGTGCAGATTTGGATATAGCTCCCATATATATCTTCAACCGATTTCGGGTTAATTGTGCATTAAATGGCCAATATCAGTCCAAATGACCTCAATTTTGGCACATGTGAACGAATTCAGTCTAGAAGAAAGTACTTCAAATTTTGGTGAAAATCGGTTCAGATATATCTTTAGCTCCCATAGTACTTTGTTTCTGATACCTTTGCAAAATTTTACCGAAATCGGCTAAGATTTTGATATAGTTCCCATATATATCCTTATTCAGATTTCAGGTTTATTGTGCAAATAATGGCTAATGTCTGCCCAAATGGAGTGAATTTCGGTACGAACGTTCCCATTTTATGGAACTCGGCCCGGATATATATTTTTAATACAATTTTTTTACTGGAAGTATTCTCGTTCTAAATGCTTATTTTTGTGGGGATACCACAAAGAGTGGGTCGATAAGTTCCAAATTCAAATTAGATAAATTATTGGTAGAAATATTTCGCAGCTTGAAGTAAATCTCTAACTTTTTTGGCATATAGTTATTGGGAGTTTTGACCTTATGTGTGAAAGATTCCCGAAGAGCTTATTTATGTTGATTTTTTTTTTTGCTTTCAGAAGTTAAAAGAAACATCGGGGAATGATTTTACATATAATGAGAGCCGCGTTTCGCAGTTGATTAAGCCTATTTGGTGTGGATAATGGCTTACAAGGACCGTTTCTTGGAAGAAACTATTTATTTCGAACTTATAGCGATTAAGCACATGCGCATTATACACCAAAAACCATCCAAGTTGGATTCAAGTTCTAATAGCAAATCTTTTTCACAACAAAGCTTGTTTTAGTAGCGATGGGTGTTTTGGCAACTACAGGGTTGCCCATATTCGACGGACCCATCTGGCAACGCCATAACTTTTGACAGATATCTCACATCGCTTAATGACATACCGCGTTTGAAGCGTCAGTCCAAGCAGATTTTTACCATGAACCAATACACAGCGCTCTGAAATAGTTGAAATTTACATTCAACAGAAGAAGTCAATTGTGAAAACTCAACGTGCTTTTAAAACATTAAAAAATATTCGCCTTGATTTGCATTTGTTCCCGTACAAAATTCAATTGACGCAAAGAATGTTGCCTGCGGACAAGCCTCGTCGATTGGAATGAGCCCAAAGGTCCGTCGAATATGGGCAACCCTGAACATCCTTCCAGTGCATACACCTGTTATAGTGCTGCTGTAGAACAACACGTTGATGGCTTAGACGTTGAGACGCCAACATCGGCTTACCTGGCAGCACAACGAGGTCCACCGTTCAAATCTCAGCTAGGCTGGGCTGAATTTTTATTGCTTTACATTGTTGATCTAGGTTCTTAGTTTACTTTTCGATACAGCTTTTTATGGCTGTAACTCTTGGCATCGTTACGTTTCATTATACCGTCAGTAATATGGCTACAGAGGGTCACTTGATACGGCCAAAACGTTTCTTATCGAAGTAACGGATCTCTTCTTCCCCGAATCCTTTTCGGGACATTTAGAGTTAATCTAGGGGTATTCGTCCGTCTGCATGAGATTTGGTCCAAAATTGGTAAATGGTAAATGCAACACCAACGTCATGTCGGTTCAGTTTTGGGTATAGATCCGTCATAGGAACAAACCCAGATTTGAAATCTTATCATATTTTGAGTTGTTAGTATGCAGAAACAGTACAAGCAAAAAGTCATCAATGTAGGGTCAATTTTTGAACAGTCATTGATGGTATTTATATTATATATTTGGGAATGACATAAATTGCTCGGTAAGAGTGGCTTATTCGTTTGCCCAATTTGAGAAAAAAATGGTCATTCTGACATTCAATGATTCAAAGCCTGCTGTTCCTGGAGGTTGTAAAGAAGAACCAAACAAATATACCAAATTTACCAGGATCATATCACATGTCTCACAACGATTGTAAAACACCCCGACTTTGTTAAGTAACCCATCCAAGCAGCGCAAATTTTCATTTCTTACCAAATGATGTGGGAAAATTGTAGAAGAGGAACGTGCATTCCTTTTATGTTACATGTTTCATGCAGGACTACGGCATATTGGTGAGTTAAAAACCAAAAAAAAAAAACAAAATATGTGCAATGATTACTTGTCGCTATGTGACAAACAGCAAAGTTGACATTTCATTTGTATCTCTTCCATGCCATGTCTTTTTTTATTTTGGAAGAAAACTTCAAAGGGAACCGGAAACACTGTGAAACTGTCACTCTTTTGTTGTTGGATCATATCGCAAATACTTTTTCGGCAAGACATTCTCATTCAACCACATTCTAGAAAAACTAGAGCAGTATGAGTTGCGCTCATGTTGTGCTAAGCCACAAACGACAAAATATATGCCCAGGTTGGACTCTAATTTCGAAAAAAGTGTGTGTGTTGTTTTAATTTCAAAATCCTCCCTTTTAATCCAAAAACACTAAAAGAAAAATATATTATGACTTTCTTTGGCTTCCGTTTTTAATGAGGGAATATCAACAATATTTCACATTTTACTTTGAAATCGAAACTGCCTTAAAGGAAAATGTGCCGACAAACAAACATAGATTAGAAAAAAAAAAACAGAAACGATGCCGTTTCGCAAGCCTTTATATGGTTCGTTGGTCCGGTATGGGCTCTCTCGCTGGCTGACTCGCTGACAATCATGCGATTGCATTTCAATACGTCGTACATTATCGCATTGTGTTTGCACCACTTCAAAGAAAACTCATTTATGGCTTTTGGGCTTAACGCAGCCAACATGCAAATAAGGTGTAATGAAAGACATGCTAAATTTTTCAGGAAAATAATTCTTGTTATATTTTAAATTTCAAACATACGAACACTTTACAAAGCGGGGCACGCAATTCTGTTGTTCGCAGGGTGTGGGTGTATGGGGATATACGTATGTGAGGTCAACACCTTAGTTTAGAGCAAAACACTAACATAAGTAATGTAAGTGTTCTCATACCGGCTAGTTCCTGCTAATTCAAAATAGTCTTTTTGGTACTCAAGTTCACAATTTGTTCAGTTTGACAAAATTTGTCAATCAAAACTTTATATATCAAACTAAATTTTCAGACTTTCAAGGTTTTATATGTTGTTAAATTTTTTTCTTTTTCGGAAATAACAATAGAAAAACGTTTACTTTTACACCAAAAATGCCACTTCAAAATCATTTAGTTTGAAGTTTACCAAGGAGAATATTAGTAAAACCATTGCAGAATTGACCCACATTTAATTTTTCTGTCCAAAATTATTTCAACGTCTCCATATGTAATCCCCAGCAACCAAGAGAGACCTCAATATCAAATTCCAGGATTCCAGCTCTATACATGTACTCAATACCAATTTAGTACTATTTAGTACTTTTCGTATAATTTTAGTACTAATTTGCAAAACCGTTCCATATCTCAATCCTAGACAGCAAAAGATATGGGTTTTAACTGTATCCCTTCATCCAATACCAAATTTAGTACTATTTAGTACTTTTCGTAAAATTTTTCTTAAACCACCTCCATATCTCAATTCCAGATGCGAACAGCGACTTCAACATCAAATTTCGGGATTCAAATTCTATCCCTTCACCCAATCCCAAATTTGGTACCAGTAAGTACCTTTTAGTACATCAGTATGAAATTTGAGGATTCGGCTATGTAATTTCCTCCATTGCAAAATTTAATTCAAAAAAAAAAACTGCAACAAAGTCAAACGCCATAAACGCCGAAGGTGCACCTTTTCAGCTGACCTCTTTGACAAGTTAACACGATCATTTTGATTGTTTACAAACTGCTGGACAACGAATGTTATCTCACCGGAGAAAACCAAATTCCTTACCTCTTTTGAGTCTATTTTTTTCTCTTGGGGTGTAAGTTCTTGCACTTTTTAGAATTTCAATGGCTTTACTCCGAGCTGTTTTTTTTCGTCCACTTCCTTGACGTGGGGCAAGCACAGACACCAACAGTGAAATCTATATAAAATTGCAGGATTTCAGCTCTATTCCTTCACCTAATACCAAATTCCAGCTGTATTTTTTTTTTTAATTTTCATACAATTAAAGGACGCATTCTCATACCACCACCAAATATCACACACAAATACCATCAGTAATCTAAATATAAAGTTTCAGAATTTCATAGTACCATTCAGTACTTTTCGTATCCACCTCCATATGTCCAGTATACACATGAATTCGACCCTAATACAAAATTTCAGATTTCAAGCACCATTAGTTCACCCAATATCAAATTGTACCATATAGAGTACTATTTAGTATTTTTCGTGTACTTGTAGTACATATTTCCAAAACCACTCTTTATTACAAATCTACAACCAACAGGGACCCCAAGACAAAATTACAGCTTCATCAAAGTACCAATTTGTATAGTCCGCACATTTAGTACACATTTCCAAAACCACCTTCAGATATCAAACTTTATTTCCCAATTTTATTGTTATAGTAAATTTTATGTTTCTAGCTCTATTCGTTCATATAATACCAAACGATAACATTTTAGATGTTTAGTATCATTTTAGAAGTTTTCTTAACCTTAAAGTTCGAATTTCCAATAACCCTTTGGTACATCAGCCTTTTTGTCGGGCGTTGATTTTACGTCAGTCAGTCATTTTTTTCTAATTGTACCGTTTATAAATTAGCTTAACCTTAAATTTCGAATTTCCAAAAACCCGTTGGTACATCCATCCTGCACTCCTTCGGTGACTCTCATTCCAAATTATAGCTCATTCTGTTTGTCCAATACAAGGTTTTTAATTTTTATTACATTTTAGTACTTTTCGTACCCCTTTAGTACGGATTTACAAAAATCCGGCATTATCACTCTCCTACGCACTAAGAGTGATTCCCGTGCAATATTTCAAGATTTCTCAAGCTTCAGCTTTTCCTTCTAGGCGTTGTTTCTCCGTCAGTCAGTTAGTTATTTCACTATTTTTTTTTCTCCTATAACAACTTCCTCGAACGTTAAAATTTAAAATTTCTAAATTGTAGCCTACGCTGTTTGAGGAGACACAAACATCTTCTTATATGTTCAGATATATATCTCTTGCGTCCAAATATTCATTCTCATGAAAAAATTAGTTGTATCCTTATAAAAACTCCCTCTATAACAAATTTATTCCATTTTATCCTACAAGCACCTGTTCGACAGTCGTTCATTGTACAATGGTGGTGCCTATGATAATCATTACCATGTAATAACTGGTTGACTAACATTTCCGTTGAACGTGCCCGAGAGTTTACAGCAGCAATTGTACGCACATACCCATCGAATTTATTTTCCAAACTGTTGCACAATACATTTCCACTCAATGTGACTTATTACATATTTCCTTGGGATTCCCCGCTCCAACGACCGCAAGGATTACGGAAATGATGAGTTTTATATTTCCGTTTGTGAAGTCGGTGAAAAAAACACACAAAAATAATGACAAAGGAAGTAAACAATATCAATTTGTATATGTTAAATATACTATATATTTAAAATGCAATGAAGGCAAAATTTGCAACTAAAAAAGCGTATTATGATGGAAAGATGTTTGTATATGTTCCAACTGTGATATTCCTTTTTTATACCCTACACAGCATAGTGGTAAGGGTATTATGTCTTTGTGCATTTGTTTGTAACAGGGAGAAGGAAGAGAGATAGACCCATAGTTACTTTTGAGGATGTTTATAAAATCACTTTCTAATGTCAATCCGTCCATTCGTCCATGTATTTTTGTGAACAAAATGAAGGTAGCAGTTATTATCCGATTGACATAACATTTTCACAATA